AATTTATTGTAGTTATGGGATAACACAAATTTTGATTCTTACCCTTATTTTGATTTTGGTTCTCAAGTTTCAAACCATATATGTTTTGGTCCTTCAAGTTTTTTTTATTTAAAATATTAGCCCCTATAATCCAACAAAAATTTGGACCAGCTTGGACCATTTTGCTCCTTGAGGAACCAAAATCTATAGTTTGAAATTTGAGGAACTAAAACCAAATGAGAACAAACTTGAGGGACTAAAAATTATATTAATCCAATAATTATTGATCTCTAACTAGAGGTGGTAATGCGGGCTAGCGGTGCGAATATGAGCCAGCCCGTGGCGGTGTGGGCTACCTGTGCCAGCCCGAGCTCGCCAGCCCGCCTATATATTCTTTTTTTTAAAAATAAAAACTATTATTATTAATATAAGTTGAGCTTAATTTGAAATGTTAAAATTAGGCTTTGAATCTTGAATTTGAGTAGTAAGTTATGATAAAATAAAGTGAAGATTAATTTATAATTTAAGAATATATTTTTAAAAACTAATATATTTTTTATAAATAATTAATTTAACTAGTTTTTTATTCAAAGTAATTTAGTTTTCTTATCCAAATTAATTAAGTAGGTATTTTATGTATAAATGTATAAGTATCACATGTTTATTTAATTTTATAAAGGCTTTTATAGTGACAAAACAAATAAATGAAAAATAAAAGATGGACGATAATCTTCGTATAACTACACACAAAATCACAAATATATAAAGTGTTTAATTACTTATGCAATAATATGAAAGAAGCAATGTTTAATTGTTCATGTGGAATTTGAGGGTCAAAATATTTTAACTATATTAGGAATTATATGAAAATTAAAAAAAAAAAAAAAGCGGGCCAACCTACGGTGAAGCGGGCTGGAATAGTCCGCACCTTGGCGGGCTGGCATATTGCCAACCCAAGCCCGCCTTTTTTGGCCGGCGTGAGCCCAGCCCGTATTACCAGCTCTATCTCTAACACATTCTAATGAAATAGCCCTTCAAGATTGGAGATATTTTGGTACTTTCATTAAAAATTATATGGCGTTCAGTGAATTTGTGGTATAAGTTCGTAGGTATTTTTTACTTTTAATTTTTTTTTTGTTTTAATTGGATATTTGAGTATTTTCGTTAAAAACATGGGTCCTACAGTTTAAAAAAAGGACGTTTGTTCATTTCAACGGTGTTAATACTCCTCCGGTCCTAATTATAAGACCCAATTGACTTATTTGAGGAGATTAAGGAAGTAAGTTAAATTGGTTATTTATAATAAATAAGTATTGTCATTCCTAAAATATCCTTGCTAATTAAGTATATTGGCTAAAACTATCATTATTAGAAGGATTATCTTGGAAAAAAATGCATAAATATAAGAGACAAAATAGATTGGGGTCTTATAATTAGGACCAAATAAAAAGTCAAATAGGGTCTTATAATTAGGACCGGAGGAGTATTATTTAGCTCTTTTTGAGCCCAGAGAAAGTTTATTATGTTGGGTGAACTTTTGGTATGTTTTTATGAGTATTTTTGACCCTCAACTGTTGGTTATATTCATTTAACAGACAATTGTGATCAATTTTATTGTCTATTAAATTAAAATATTTTTCCCGAAAAAATTCAATAATTTTCTGCTAGAATAATGTAACCGTAACGGCTGTGGTATCTAGGTTGAATAATAGAATAAACTTAATATCTCTTAAATGGGAGGGGATGTCTGCTGCCCTTTTTAATGCCCTCCATGCCTGCCCATCATTTTTGCTCTCTTTTCAAATCTCTATTGAATTTTACATGAAATGAGTGATATTTTGAAAAAGCAGTAGTTTTAAATTTTTTATGACTTTTCAAAGATTGCACATGCCAATATGTGCAGTTTCCTTTTAATTTGAGTTTTTTAAATTATAAAAAATTGAAAATTGCTTTATTTTTTTATTTATAAGATATCAGAATGTCACTGATTTTATATAGAATCTAATAATAAAAAATAAAAATATTTGAAAAGAGAGAAAAAGTGATGCGACAGTAGGGAGTGCATTAGAAAGGAACTCTTAAATAAGATCATGGCTTCAAACGTTATAAATAAAAAAAATCATATTAAAAAAGCTTTTTTGGACCGGAATTCATATTAAGAAAGTCGTTCTATTTAAACACTATAATATTTGGATATGACATCTAATATATTATATAGTACTAAATGTGTGGGCAAAAATAAAGGCGTAACATTTTTTTTCCCCTGACCAGCAAGGCATAACACATACAACACATTATGACTAAGACATTTGTATTTAATACGATGTGTCACGCGGACGGCAACTAATTTTTATAAGATGCACTGAATTGTAGGTGACAACTCCTGCACGTAGTTTCATGTCAGGATTACATCAATGTGGCATTAAACAATTGGCACGTTAATGCCACACTTGTGAAAGGCTTAATTTGGTATTATTATTGTTAATATATAACCATACCAAAAGTTTGCAATTCACTTGGGATTGACAGTCCTGGCTCAAAATTTATCATTAATATAATAATATCATAACTTTTATTATTATGTTATCTACAATTTATAAGCTTTTCTTTCTTTTTTTAATGAACAATTTATAAGTTTTTATGTATGGGTTATATGATGGTTTTTAAGAGATATTTTGAGTTTATATATTTTCTATCTTTCAAAAAATATTTTTTGTTAGTTTTTTATTAATATTAATTTATCAACAGAAAGGAACACTCTTATCCCTATCAAGCTATAGGCATTTTGTTAAGGTAGTGGGATTATGTGCCTCTCATTTCTACAAATGTAGGTAAAGGGAAGAAAAGAGTTAAAAACATATTTTTAACATCCATAAAAATCAACTATAATATTATGATATATGATGGCAAAAAATTTATGATATGTAATTTTAATTTTAAAAAATAAGTGGCAATTTATTTGCATTATTTTTTATTTTTTTTAAAAAAGTTAATTTAATTTCAAAATGGTTTAATATTATTTTGGGTTACTGCAATTTGACTTTATTTTTGTTTTATTTCTTGAAATTTGAAATGAGTGCTTTTGATTCTTAGAACCTTGTTTCAAGACCAAAAACGTTATTTCAGAAACAAAAAATGTTCAAGTGAACTAAAATAAAATCAAATTTTAAGGATTAAAATAATTCATTTCAAATTTTGGGAACCATAAACACAACAATATAAAAATTCATGAGCTAAAAATGATCACCCTTTTAAAATTTGTTAATTATTATTAATCTTGATGATAGATTTTCACTTTCGTTTTATTAAAAATAGAAAAGGGAGAATTACTATGAAATATTAAATAAGAAATATAATTAGTAAAAAATTTCAGTGATAATAAAGCAAATTGCAATGACGAATTTGAAACTAGCAAATGACAATTACTCACTTATCATTTAGACTTATTAGTAATTATTTTATATCATTGAGATCTTATTGTAATTCCTTGCAGAAAAAAATTAGTAATTTTAATAAAACGAAAGATTCATTGCCCAGAGTCAAAATTAATTTAAGAGAGAATTATAATGAAGTTCTAAGTAAAAAAAAATTATTAAAAAGTTTCAATAACAATATAAATAGTTTGTAATGACAAATTTTAGAATAAAAAGTGACAGCCTCTAAAACTTATTTTGTAATTATTTTCTTTACTTAGAATTTTATTGTAATTCTCTCTTGATTTAAAAGCCTCATAATTCCATAATTCCCACATTCCCAAATTTTAATTTGTTGTACAATTTTCAACTTGTTCTTCAACATGAAAATGTTTTAGGATGACACTTGTCGTATCATTAAGTATCAATTTAATTTATTATTATCACAGTTAAACAAAAGTCATATTGCTGGTCAAAAGAAAAAACATGAGTCATATAAAAAAAATAATGAAAGTTTCTCAAGTCTAAGATCAATTTATTTGGCATCGCTAGCCATATAACAAATCTGAACCTGTCAAAACCAGAGGAATCGATCGTCCTTACGGAATCTGAAGAATCACGTATCCTATAATTATAATGAGAAAATTATAATTAGGTCCACTCAAAGGAATTAAATATAAAAAATCTCTTAAAATCATAAAATTATTCTGAAATCTAAAAAAAAAATTTGTAATAAATTTTATTTGTTTGATTACCAAATTGTTCTTATTATTATTTTTAAGTTTATATTGACAACTGAAATAGTAGTCGTTAACAACTTAAGATGTAAGGATTGACAACTATTACAGCAAGTATTGACAACATATTTTCTCAGCACATTATAAAATATAATGCATAAGTTGTCAATATTTACTGCTATAGCTGCCAATTCTTACACTTTAAGTTGTTAATCATTATTTTCTCAGTTGTCAATGCAAACTTAAAAAAAAAAAGAAGAAGAATTTGATAATTAAATAAAAAAATTTATTACAATAAAGTTCATTAAAATTTCAGAATAATTTCATGATTTTAAAATATTTTTCTGTATTTAATTCTTTTAGATCGACCTAATTGTAATTTTCCCTATAATTATTCAATATTCATGTTCAATATTCACACAGGCAAAATTGGGCTTGGCTATTCCTGAGTGGAGAGAATGAAACTCTTTTGTGGGGTCCCATTACGAAAATAATAATAATAATAATAATAAAAAGTAAATTCTTTTCCAAATAATCAATATATAAGGAGACTTCAACTCGTCAGTAGTTTCCATTCCTGATTTCTGATACGGTTGACTCACAAGAAGTTTAAAGAAGCAGAAGAAGAAGAAGAAGATGGTGCAGAAGTAGGATCCTATGGTGGGTCGCAGATACAGGATGGCAATTCCGTGGACTGTCACCGGACCAACAAACTCTGTCACCGGCGGTTAAACGAGCCGTTTTGACTTTGTAAGTATTAGAAAGGGGAGGGAAAAAAATAAAAAAAACGACAATACACTCAAATCCTCCGACATCGGTGTCAGTAACTGAGATGAGTTTTCGATTTGAGTTTTTTTTTATCTTGTTAGAAGCAAGTCAAAAGGTTCATAGCAGTCTAGTCCATCTGGTCGTGGGCTTGGTGGATCCGGTGCTGTCAATGATGCGCTGTCCCTGTCCTTCTTTCTTTCTCTGTTTTGCTTTTGAATTTTCTCGGGAAAACTTTCCACTGTTTGGTTGGTCGGAAAATGGGAAAAGGTGGCGGATTTCGAAGGTGGGTTAGGTGAAGAAATAGACTTCGGAGAGCAGGGAGCAAAATGGTTGGGGGATGAAAGCCTGAAATGCACAGTTCGTATCCCCTCTTTCTCTCTCTCTCTCTGGGGTTTCCTTTTGGGATGGAGAGTTTGGCTGAAATGCAGTGTTTGGCTGGTCGGAAAATGGAGGAATCCGAGGCGGGTCAGGCGAAGACAGGAACTTTGGAGAAAACGGCATGACGGGTGGGGACTGAAATTTGTTATAACGTTTCATAGTTTAGGTATTGAAATTAAATTTTGGAATGGTAAAGGGGGTAGCGCTGATAATTTAATGCTATAATATACCCTATTTATTATTAGGGTCTTGCCGAGATAGGTGCCATTTGTGCTGTGTCAAGTTTTTACATTAATTGTTGAAGAAGACGGTGAGGGGGGGGGGGGAGTTGACCATTATTTATGGCTATGATTACAACTCAACCCTTCTATCAACCTCTTTACTCTGAAGTCACTTCTTATTATTTTATCTTAATTCTGTTCATCCCTCTCTCTGAAGCAAACTCCTTTCACTTTTCTCTTCGCAAAGCTTTGATTTTTTTTCTGGTAATTTACTCCTCTGCTTCTTTTGCCACCTAAAGTTTCTTTCTGTATTTCATAGTTCAGTTCAACTTGTTTTGAGAGAATCGATGAAGATGAACCATTTTGATTCTATTGCTGCTAGTTTCTCCGACGTCGTCACCTGTTGTGACTCTTTTGTCTCTGCGTGCAGTTAAGAAGTTGCTTGAATTGTCTGTTCTGAAGGAAGGTAGAAGAAGATTGAAAAGGTAGGTATCATATTATATGTTTCTTACATTTGATTCTTCTTATTTTGCTCTTTTCTTTCTTTTACTGGTCTATGAAGGTATTGTTTGGGATCTGAGGCAGATCTCTGGTTATTTTTTTTTTCTTTGTATCTTCCATGGAGATGAAACCCGGCTGAGATATTCACTTTACTTTTATTTATTCCTCTGTGCTAGATCCAATCAGAGCTAGTGGACAAAAAACATTGATAGGGAATTTAAAATTGTGGGTTTTCTTCCCCAGAATAAATTAAAACTTGGGTTTGTAATTTTGTTGCGAAGAGTTTTCAAAGTTCCCAACTTTTCTCTTGTCCTATGTATACTTCGAGAAACTGTCCTTGGATTCTCTTCTTCTTCTCTTGGTTATCCGAATTCTATTGCTTATAATAAAGAAAAAGGCAGATGGTACCTTCTTTCCGGTACTTCCTATACTCCCTTAGCTTCTTCACAGAGGAAAGAAACTAATATTTCTTTAATCAACAATATTTGATTGGTCTTCACATGAGATTAGAAGCTTAAGTTTAATCTTAAACCCTTTTTATATTCTTGAAGTTCTTGGTAAACGCTTCTTTGGCCATTTTTTAATGTGCAAATTGACTTTAGTATGGCAGTAAAAGATTCCTTCAACGTTATGGGAAAACTGGGTATGAATGATAGAATCATACTACAATTCTGTTGGCATTAAAAAAATTACCATCGCTTGTGAACAGTGCTTTTTTTCCCATTCTCTTTTTTCCAATTTAGGTTTATCCTCTGTAGCATTTAATGGAATCTTGTTATTGATGCTAGGCTTCTCCCAAATGATTACTTTCTTTGACCTTCTTATATATAAATCCACAATTGATTTTCTCTGTTGATCTTGCTTATTTTTTTCCAACACAATTAACCAATTATCTGTTGCTTGCTAAACTGGCTATTCTTGTTGTCTCTTAATGGTCAGGTAAGTTGCTGCAGAATCGGATCTGTACTTGGCTTCAAGTTTGAAAATACCTTTCATCTGGAGCGGAGGAAAATTTCCATGTATTAAACCTATGAACTATGAAATTAGGTAACCAGAAACGCTGCTTCTGATCTTTGCATTTGCCTAGTAAACTGCCATTTGAACTCATGACACGATCATATTGATGAAATTTTACAAAATTTTGGAGTCAAATACGGTCTATATCTTCTCAGGATTAGAATGATGGAATCTTACCTGCATCTTTTTTTGGGGTTAGGGTTAGTAATTAGAAGTGTTTATTCATTTCCTTTCATTTTCCTGCTTATTACTTGCTGAAGTCTATTGCGGTTTCAATTTCAAATCTTCTGGGTTTATTTTTCACTGGTGTGGAAGTGTATTTGCAGATGGTGAACTGGCATTCTACCATTCAAACATTGGCAAACCTGAATCTCAATCATTTGAATTTGATGTCAATGATCCATACTCTGCTGAATGCAGATCAGAAGAGCAGGAAGCCAAGGAAAATGTGAAAAGAGTCTCAGTTGATTTAGAGCCAAACGAGGGGAATTTAGATCCATTGCCAAATAAGATGGAGGCAAAGGATGCTTTAACTTCATCAGAACTCGATTCTCAGGAGAGCATGGCTGGTCTTAAAAATGAAAATGATGGAAAGGTCAAGGACTCTGATGATCCATGTCCTGATTGCCCTCAGGATATTGAACCAGTTGAGAGTTTGGATCTCCCGGGAGTAGTAAATTCATCAAAAAATCCGGCGGATTTTTATATGGACAAAAGTGTTACTGAATGCGAACCAGAATTGGTGGTTGTTTATAAAGAAAGCAGTGACAATGTTATCAAGGATATCTGTGTTGATGAAGGAATCCCAGCGGAGGAAAAGATATTGTTGGAGAATAAAAATGAAGAGGCTGCTTACAAATTCTCGTCCTCAGAAGATCACAAGAGTGAAAAATTGTCAAAAGAAAATCTTGCAGTCGATGCACCTTTTCCAGTTTTCATAGATTTGCCTGCAATAACAGAGGAATCTGATAAATTTTCTACTAATCCTTCCAAGCTTGAGGATTTGATGCTAAACGATGATGATGATGAAACCAGAAAATTGGCTAATGATGTCGATAAAGAGATGTTATTGGCTGGATACAAAGTTTTACTGCAAGATTTGGATGAAGAACAGTCAATGCCTTTGATTGAAGAAGGAAACAAAGCTGAGCAAAACTATTCACAGGTATTCAACATCCTAGAGCATAACATAAAATTAATCATGGGATATAGATATTCTTTTTGAATGATTGGTTGACTATTTTTAGCATGTTTTACAACCTTTCCTGGTATTAAGAGAAGCTTAATGTTAATGAATGTGAAGGAAAGGGGATAAATATTAGAAAGTGATCATTTTGATTTATCTGCAGGTCTCTTGTGAGCCTGAATTGCCCTCCAAGCCTAAGGAATCTGAAGATAAAGCTGAGGAAGCTGTCTCAAAGTCTTCTGCTAAAGCAGAAGAAGAATCAAATGGTAATGTCAGCGATGCTGGCACACCGGAGAATTGCGGCGTCACTTCTCAGTTTGATCCTCCTTTTGCTGCAGCCAGCACTAAAGAGGAATCTGACAGAGTTGGTGAGCCAAAACACGACGGTGCTCGAAGTTCATCAGAGTCTGTAGATGTGAAGGGCGAGCCTAAACACAATGATGATCGAAATTCATCAGAGTCTGGACGTCACAGCTTGGGCGAGACGAGTTTCTCAGCCGTCGGTCGGGTATCGAGTCGGATAACTTGCTTGGATCCAGTGCCTTATTCCGGCAGCATCTCTCTTAGATCAGATAGCAGCACAACTAGCACGCGGTCCTTTGCCTTTCCAGTGTAAATTGCTATAAACTTGCATCAAAAGCTTTTCATTGGAAACAAACTCAAGTTCATGGCTTTTTGGTTATCAAGTTCTTCTCCAGAATTATAACATGTGGATTGAATTTCTTAAAGGAGTTAAAATGTCCATATGTTATATTTTTTGACAGGAACTCTATAACAAAATGCTTAAGCAACATTATCTGAGTCTTATTTTCTCTCATGATTATCTTTCATTTAGGAATTTCTTGAGCAACATACTGGTTTTGTTCTTGTGCTTACAGACTTCAATCTGAATGGAGTAGCAGTCCAGTTAGAATGGCAAAAGCCGACCGGAGACACTGCCGGAAGAAGAGGGGTTGGAGGCAGGGCCTCCTATGCTGTAGATTCTGAATGCTCTCTCTCTCTCTCTCTCTCTCTCTCTGTATTTTTGGCCTTATTTTTAAATAGGTTTAGGTTGATAAAAATATATATGATTTAAATTTTGCCTTAGCATCACGAAAATTAATCTACCCGGCTGTTCTACAATTTGCACTAGGTTTTAGGATGATGCCGAGTTAGTGTTCATGCAAGCAAATTCTTTGTTTTCTCTTGCTTGCTGTATCTGATCCTTATCCCCTCACATATTCTATACATGTTGTGATCAATATTAACTTCCATTAGTATTGAAATAAATCATAATATACGTATTTGTTTATTTAGTTATTTATTTATTCCTTTTGGGTTGAATAGGACATATTTTACTTCATTTATGTGTTCTTCCTAAATGCTCTCCGCCATAAGCAAATTGGTTTATGTCTCCTTTTAGAGCTGGTGAGCTCAACCCTTCAACCTTCCAAACCTCCGTGAGGTGGTGGGTGGGATTGAAGAAAATAAGAATCATTTTAATATGGTTTTTTTTAGTCCGCACTCGTTAACTCGTAACTCACTCCTGCTAGTTCTTATTTTTTTTTAAAATTCTTTTACTATTTCTATTTTAATTTTAATAAGAAAAAGTTTTATTATTTTTACTTAATTTATATATAACTTTGTATTTTGTTAGAGATTTTGATTCTAAATTTGATTTTTGATTTTTTAATTGTTTTACTATTTTTTACTAATAAAATAACTATTAACAACTAATTATATGTTTTTATTTTAATTTTTGACATTAATTTAATTATATAGTTATATGAAAATATATGGATAAGAAGAATTTAGTCTATAAAAATTTATAATTTAATTTTAAAAATCTTCAATATATGTATAAATTTAAAAGGCAAGTGTCACTTTAGGACAGATTTTTGTGTACGACTGTCTACATAGTTATTTACAATTTTTTAAATTTTTTAAATCTGATTGTTATTAATTTAATTGTTTGAACGTGAAATGTCATTCTTTCAAGATGATACGTGTTTTACTTGACAAAACCAACAATAAAGGTTATCTTCCTTGATTGATTTTTTTAGATGATTTTAAGTGGTCATATTGTTTATTGTACGCCGACAATACAACACAAAACATGTTATACTACTTTTGGTTCTTAATATAAAAACTAATTTAATTTTTAATTTAATTATAAATATAAGATTTCAATTCACTTAGCGTATCATATTTATTTATTTTTTAAAAATAATCCTTGTAGTAATTATACATGTTAAACGATCCATTAATTAGTAGTTCTAATTCTAGCTAACATACATGATTAGCAAAGGTATTTTAGGGAAGATAACACTTAATTATTACAAATAACTAACTTAACAAACTTTCTTAATCTACTTAAATTAATCAAGTAGCTCTTATATTAAGGACATGAGGTAATACCAATTTTAATTGTATAATTTTTCCCAATTTTATATAATTGATTATTTTATAATTCTTATATAAAATTGGTTAAACTTTTAAGTATCGTTATTTCATCCCCTCGCTCGTATGGAGCTTCCCCATAGGGAAATCTCGTAGCGTATTCTTTCACACCCTCCATTCTACGATAGCACTTTTCGGAGTCTTTGGTTACTAATATCTTTTTTTAAAATAATGTCTTCATTTATCCATAGAGAGAGTGAGTGAATAATAATTAATGCAAGATATAACATATAATTAATTGAAGCAAAATTGGAGAATGTGAGTTAGAATTCCAAACTATATCTCATGCCCAACAAACTGTATAGTATTTTAATATGCCTAGTGTCCCATGGGGTTTGAATACTAACTACTTTCTCCGGTTCATAACATACAATTCTAACTCTGTCCTAATTAGAAGAGCTATGTGACTAATTTGAGGAATTAATGAAAGAAGTTAAGTTAGTTATTTGTAATAAATATGTATTGTCTTTCCTAAAATATTCTTACCAATCAAGTGTGTTGGCTAAAACTATAATTATTGGAAGGAATATTTTGAAAAAAATTGAGTAAATATGAAAGACAAAATAGATTGGGGTCTTATTTAGGATCAATATAAAAGTCAAACGGGGTCTTATATTAAGGAACAGAGATAGTATTAGTTAACCTTTTCACAAACTAAAAAATTAAAGAATATTAGTTAAATTATTAATTATTAAATGTACTTTAAATTATCATTAATTAGCGTCTCGCAGAGACAGCTGGTTCTTCATGGGTGACGTGCTTTCCCCATCATGACACCCAACAAATTTCAATACCCTTTGTACTGTATTACATACGTTGTGAGGCTTTGTATTGTTTTAATGTCTCATGGCGGGTCCGGTCCCAAAAAAAAAAAAAAAAAGTCTCATGGTAGCGTGTTCAATGGTTCTCGAGTCCATCTTCGTAAGGTTCTTGATGGGCTGAACTTTAATTGTGCGGGGCAATTAATATGAGGGTGCATGACGAGCCATGGGTTTATTGAGTTTCAGTCTAGGCATTTTGTTTACCATTACTTTATGTTAGGCCAGCCTTTGTCTACTGATTGTTTGGGCTCTACTCAAATAATTTTCTGTGTAATAAGCTGACCTTTTTATCTATATATTTATCTTTTAATAAAAAAAAAATACAATCAAGTTTTACAGAAGAGAAATAATTACTAATAATAACAACCTCAACAGTCTATAATAACAAGTCTTATAGTGAGAATGATAACCTCTGAGACTTGTTTTTAAATGTTTTCCTTACTTGGGACCTCATTGTAATTCTCTTTTTAATAAATTTATTTTTAATTAAAAAAATAATTAATTACTTTGTAGCTTTGATATTTTGAACTAAAATTTTTTATTTTTTCTGTAAAACTTTTTATATACGAGAGGGAGTGGTGAGTTATGCCCATTTTCCCATATTATTTCAAATGAATTTTTTTCATAAGCCTTCTTGCCCCTGTGTTCTGCCCAAAAAAAAAAAAAATCTTTTCTTAAATTTATGGAAATGAATGGGAAAAATGGATAAAAATAAGAAGAATAAAATACATTGTTACCCATCTATTTTATCTAAATTATAGAAATTTTTTTCTCTATTTTGAAAATGTATATAACCTTCCATTAAAATAAAAATATATGTTATATAAACCTCTTTTATATATTGGAGATTTTATTTTCACTCATTTAATCATTAATTAACTATTAAGTTTGACTTTCAAACTTTTATTTTGATCAAGATAGCCCTTCTTAACATAAGCGTTATATAAACATTTATATATGTCAAAAGAAATTATTTTTTACACAATAAAAAATAATTGTAATACATGTATTTTCACACTTTAGAATATGTTATAAAATTTATTAATTTTAATTACATTATAAAATTCATAAGATAAATTATGTGAGTTTGGGACATTATATAAATTATTTGAATTTATAATTTTAAATTGTAAATAAAATTTGTTGCAAACATTTATAACTTATTTAATCGATTAAATATTTGTTTGAAGAATTAATTAAATTTTTATTCAATTTTTGTGTTTATATTGACTAAATTACTTGGTTTTTTGACCCAATACTATAAAATATTTAAAAAATAACTATTTATAAAAATTAAAATTAAAATTAAGTTAAAGTAAAAAAAATTTAAATTCTTCAAATAGTTTTAGCCAAAATTTAAAAATTTAATATTATGAAAGGTAAATTAATAAATAAAATTTTTTAAAATAAATTTCAATAAAAAAAGCAGGGTATTTTTTTAAAATATTATTAATGAAAAAAAATTCATTTGTTTTTTTTTTTGGGATGAAAAAGCAAGGGTTCATTTTCATAAGCGAAATCCGCCAGCCAGTTTGATATATCTGGCGCCGGAATGCTACCGTACAATGACCAGTCCTCTGTTTCAATGGCGTTTCGCTTCCTTGTCCGCTCCAAGAACAACCGACTCACTATCTCAGCTTTATGTCGCACCATTCCTTCTTGCTTCTTCTCTCCAGATGCCGAGGACTCCCTTTCACCCTACCTTCACAGTCACCTCCCTCCCCAAAGAAGGTCCCTTTCACCGTCTCAGTGCACGGCAAGACGTGGCAAGACCCTTATCATTGGATGTCCAACACTGAGGACCCAGATCTCTTAGATCATCTCAACCATGAAAACACCTACGCCCAAGCTTTCATGGCCGATACCCTCAATCTGCAATCCTCTTTGTCGTCGGAGATGAGAAGTCGAATACCCACTTCCATTTCCACTCCCCCTGAGCGTTGGGGACCCTGGTCAGTTTACTTTCCGCTTCTGGCAAAATTTAGTTCATGGTTGATACTTGGCAGAATACGGATTTTCCCTAGAAAAACTCATTCATAAGATATTTGAGTATAAAAAATAATTTTATTTTAAAAGAGTGAATTGATATTATTGTAATCACCTATCCCTTTTCAGTTTGTGTACTCAAAATTTGATCTTGTCATTCTAAAGAGATTTCTTCAATGTTTTGTGATGCCAATGCCGTTAAGTTAAAAATTATTAAAATTGGCAACACATCAAACATGAAACTCAGATCATCAAGTTCACATTCTGCCATAATCTGTCCATTGCAGCCAGCTTAATAAAATGATGGTAGTGTAAAGTGTATATTTAGAAGATCAGAATGTCAATTCACCCATTTTAAAATCTTTGTTGTGTGGGTCTTGAGTAACATCTAGGCTTTGTTAAATTCACCAAATAGGAGAGTCAATGCAAGCTTTAGTTGAGTGATAGACTGAGCAATTCAACTTTTAGTTTGCTGTGACTTTCAAACTGATGCTTAACACTAGATTTAAAGAAAATTACTCCTTTATTTGTTTCTAGCATCAGCTTATATTATCCTTTGTTAGTTAGGCTGTATTACGAGTACATTCCAGAGGGAAAGGAATATCCTGTACTGTGTCGGAGGCGAGAAACAGAGAGAACAAGCTGGTTGAAGACCTTTCTCCATTATTCAATTCTGAGATCAACACAGGAGGAAGTCCTGCTTGATTGGAATGAACTTGCTGAGAAATATGGAGAGTTTCTTATCTAACGAACTATTTGATAAATGTTATTGCCATTGTCTTTCTTTGTATTTTTTTTATGATCAAATCTTTGAGATTGAACATTCTGCTTGAACTCACTTTCCTGTTGTAATCCTTGATTGATATGTTTAATATTGCAGGGTATGTCCATGTTGGTACATGCAGAGTTTCACCTGATCATAACTATCTTGCGTACACAGTTGATATTTCTGGTGGTGAACGATTCATGCTTCAGGTAAAGGATCTCAGAAGCGGATTTACAGATCCAAAATTTGGAGTCGAAGGTGTTGTTAATGTGGCATGGGCACA